GACGCGGTTCAGCGGGCCACTTTACATAGCACAGTAATTCATGCACGGATTATTGCTTGGGTGTCTATCACCTCTGAGGAAATCAAGGCCTTAGCAAGACTCGCATTACAAGCCTGACTTAAATTGCTTGTAAAACCTCCGGCGTATGGTAGAACACTGACCTTGGCATCTTTACCAAACGTAAGTTAACGCCCTAGACGACTCACTGCATTCTGATTAACAGCCTAAATCTGGACACCTTGCGCAATCCCATGCATTCGAGCTCTAGCTGCTTGGTCGCCGAAGTATCACGATCCCCCTACATGTTGGCGCCAACGCCCATAGAAGCGATTTCATTGTCACTACAAAGATCCGTAGGGTAACGAATCTCGAAAATGCACATATGTAAAAATTCGTGTCCGATGTATATACCACCTCCATGTAAACAGCATGGTTGGTCATGTACGCAAACACGGCCGTATCGTTCCTTGTTGCCGCGTCCTCGTCCGACTAAGTGCGGCTCAAAGTGCTTCACTTTGGTGAATTTGCACGGTCTACAACCGAAATTGTAAAGGCGGTTACTACGGATGAGGCCTGCGGGCAGTATGTGGTTTTCTCGTAACTCCGCGCACAATGGAATGTGGGTTTTTTACGCGACTTGTGGAACTGCTTTGCAGTGTCCGTTCACAACTGCGTGATGGTCAGTGAATATCCACAAACGTTTTAGAAGATATGTCAGAATGTTCAGTTTTAGAAATGACTACGCGACGAATTCATTCAGTTAGAAGAGGAGCATGGTACAGAAACTCATCAATAGCAATGAAAACAGGACAAAAGGAGGCGCCTGGCACGCCAGTATCTGTTGGGCAGAGTTTCTAGCACTTGCGCAGTGCTCGCATAACCGTATCATTCGTGTTAATGTTTTACGATGAATGTGATGGTAAGTTATAGTAATAATGTTAATTCCCAACCTGTGGGTGGCATACCATCACGCATGATCATACTGTTGCGGTCAGAATAAAAGTATGACTGGCGGGGATTGTGGGCACATCGGGCTCAGGAAAAGAGACAACGTCATAGGGTTGGGCATTATCTGATGTGAATGTGACCACCACTAACCCGGCACGGGCAGGGAAGCACAGCTACTATGCATTTTCGAGGAGAATATTGAGCAACATCGGTACGTTAGGATTTGAAGGCGGCGGGCAATAAAAACTGAGTGAGGGCAAAACGAGAGATTTCCTGTCTGACTTATGACGAGAAAAGTGTACTGGTGAGAAATGAGGAACCAGAACATCCGATCATTTGAAGCAGCAGATTTGGCGTCATGCAGCCGGTCGAACTGAACTAAAACCTAAGACTACCTCCGAGGCTTCGTGGTCTTGGACTTTTGGGTTCATGGCGGGGTGACAAAAAGCGTAAGTGGGGATGATGAATTGGGGGATTAATATAGCGGATTATTAGCAAAACGCATCACAGTAACATGGTGTACAGCGAAACTGAGGGGACACGACGGTGTCGCTGTTGCGGAGTCGGGCATAATAGTTCCTTGGGAGAGTAGGATTATGACATCACACGAGAAGCGGTTAAGTTCAAACGGAAAATTCAGCAGGTGGGAATGAAACTACTCAAGCATCTGGGTGCAGGTGGGTAGCCTGCTCGTACTAGCAGTTTACGAGACGAAGGAGCGAGAGGGTACGGTTGCGAGAAGGAAAAGAGTAGTTACTAGTTTGCAACCAAACTGGGTATCGCAGTGCCGTGCCATCATTGGACTGACGTGCTTCGGTTTTTGGGGCAGCCCCTTAGCGGGCATCATCACTCAACATGGCCAGGACTTTCTAACTCGCCACACCTCAGCAGCTCAACGGAAACATTTTTCTCCGCGCAATATGGATAGCAGCTGCTACTTTGATCTAAGGAAATGGTGACTGTCATGCTGTCCGCTCTGGGGTGGCGAGCGGATGTGACGGCACACACTCCAAACTGGAATTGTGTGCCGCCAACCTGGACCGCGCCTGCATAAAAATTTGTATTGCCCTGGCGCAATACTTATCAATATAGAGTGGGCTTACATGGTGCTTCTTGATCTTTGGATATTTTGGGGCAAGTTTTCATGTGTTGCTTGGTTGGGATGTCGTGGAATTTACATGAGACCATTTTTTGGGTTATTTGGGTAGAAGACTCCATTCAGGACTCAGGGGAGATATACCATTTGGTAGGCAGGCTAACTAAAAAATAGCCTGGTCCCAAAAATGCATGCTTCAAAGCAATTTGTGGTCACCTTATATCATGGGATACTGACGCATCGTTCTTGTTTTCACGTTTAAATGCTAGCAAGTACCTACCCCTCACTGCCCCTGAATCACGGCTTAAATTTGTCCCTCCCCTAGCAGGCCAGTAAAAGGCATGCGTTTCGTCGTCATGTGACCTTTTTACAATTTACTGAATAAGTTCGGATCAACTTTTGAACTGGTAGTGGGCAGAATATCGATATCTTTCGACCATTGTCGATCAAATGCTTAGGATTCAATGGTACCTATAACATTATAGTATGAGGAAATTATTGGTTTATTAACCACGCGAAGCATCCTGCCAATCTGATGAAAAGTTATTGTGCCATTTAACTTATAACAACAATAATGTTTCTTCTCAGTGTGCGGTTAGCATGCCGTCTGGCATGATCATACGTTTACAGTCAAAATGAAGCACGACTGGAAAAATCACGCCAGCGAAGCCGGCACAGTCAATCCTTAGCAGCGTCCTCACCAAGCCTGATAAATTGCTCCACGCAGAATGGCTACGCCAGAAGGGACTTCTAGTCACTCGTTCTTCTCCATCCGACGTACAGGAGATCTTGGAGCGGGCTGGCAGCATTCAAAAGGCCAACCCAATGATCAGGCGCCTATCTGAGAATCGTCCTCTGGACGCGCGTAAGCTCGGTTATAGCAGGTCAGGAGTGGAAGCCCGAGACAGGCTTCCACCGGGAACCAAATCAGACGACGCCAAATTCACGACCAAGCTGATTGTGGCCATATCCCTTTGTGCTCCCGAAACCAGGCCGACGAAACCAGCTGTGTCTCCGGACAGTAGTTTTTATTCGACCATCTCAGGCCCTTCGCCCACCAAAGGCAGGGACGCCCTGGAAGAGGCAAACCCCACATGCAAGCAGCGCCCAAACTACGTGGGGCTATCACAGCTGCAGCCGTGCACTCCTCAACAAAGTCACAGCCTCTGAACTGGAGTGAGTCAGATGTGTGGGGGCAAGAAGCGAAGCCAATATCCAGCTTCACTCCGTCAAAAGCGGCCTCTCTGCGTGTGAAAACAACCGTCGCCCATGACTCCGACAACCAAAGCCATAAACATGACTACAGCCATCCGGAAAACCCCTCATACATCCAGTTGGCCACGCTGATCGCTGGCGGATCGGGTGTCCACACAAACACGAAAGAAGAGCGACTGCAGCCAAACAAGCCACATAAAACTCGCCAGATTAGAAAACTGCTGGCTGGCTTCAAGGTGAAGTCTTCCGCGAAAACGAGCCTCTTGGGAGCGCCACCAAAATCATTATATCTTGGTGCCACCGCCCAGCGTTCAGGGTCTCAAAGAGACACTTTTCCGGTCAAATCGCGCCAAAACACCGAAGGATCCAGAAAGGCGAAAGCTTGCAGCAAACCTTTGATCAACAGCAAATCTAGTCGACGAAAAGGGGATGCCGAAAGATCTACAAACAGCATCGATCGAAATCTTTGCCCATGGGGAAAACTCCGTCCCCTTTAGCCAAAAGGCCCGAGCAAACCGAGCTCCCAGGGAACGAAAAAAACCTCGCAGACGAAAAGCACCCCCAGACACCACAAAGACAGGAAGCAGACAAATTCGTCCCAGAGGCCCCCTTGGAGCATTGGACTCACGCTCAAACCCGGTGCACAACCATTAAGTCTGCTAACCACCCTGGTCACTCAACTTTTGACTCCTCACCCTCGGGGGCAGCGTAGACTGTTGGGATGCTTGTAAACAAAAGGCCTCAGCCTTTTCAACAAACTCGGCGATGTTAAACAGTCAGCTTGCCTTGAACAACCGTCCATAATCGCACTCACAGAGACCTGGCTCACACCAGATATCTCTGACGCGGAGATCCCGATAGATGTTTACTCTATTTTTCGAGCTGACTCAAAACGGAAGAGGGCTGGTGGAGTTGCTCTGTACTCACATGCGGCCCTACCAATTCCGATTGCCTCCTCTGACACCACCCCTGCACCCTATTGCGATGCACTGTGGGACCGAATCCCGCTGCACGGGTCCGAAACTCTCCTTCTCGGCGTCATCATCATCATCATCATCGGCAACATGACATCATTGTTCAACACCGATGCTTCACTGCCCTACAACCATGACTTATTTGAAAAGAAGAAAAGAAGAAAAGAATAAAGGTGGATGGGGGAGAGACTTAGTGCTAGCTTAACACAATCTTTCCGGGGTGCCTACACCTCCAGGCATTCACTCAGGCAATCTGGATAGAAACTGACATAAGTACGCCACTGACTTCGGTTGGCAGCCATATCCTGTAGTGTATTCAGCCAGGCACAGTGAGGATCACGCGGGCCCCAGCCTGGAAGGCGAGTAGCACCGACAGCACCGAAGCGTTTCGTGATCTCCTTCACACTCCTCTGCAAGGTCATGGGTTGGCCACCTCTCTGTTTACGCCACTCCGAATTGGGCACACGTACCACATGTCCCAACCAACGCAGGTTCTGGTGCTGGACAGATTCTTCAATGGAAGTACGCGCTTTCTAACTGCCTTGCTACGGATTCGCCGACACCAACCCAAACGAGTTATGGTTCTGAGACAACGATTGTCGAACACCCGAAGACGTCTCAGGTCCGCTGCTCGAATAGGCCAAGTCTCACAGCCATACAATAAAACAGCCTGTACTGTAGCTTGATTTCACACGTCCCTTCAAATTCAGGGATAAACCATTCTGACGTCATAGGTGACTCAAGTTAGCAAACGCGGCCCGAGCCTTGCAGATTCGCGCATTCACCTCATCTGTCACACTACAATCAGAACTAATACAACTTCCAAGATAAGTAAAACGCTCCACAACTTCCAGTGCCTCTCCCTGAATCGTAAGTGGCGTGTTCAGTGACTGCACGTCCACAAGCATGACCTTGCACTTTGTGGGTGCAAAATGCATACCAAAGGACGGGATGACTTTGGTCAGTTCATCTAAGATTACTTGCGCCTTCTCCGCCTCTTCAAACATGAGAACGATGTCGTCTGCATATTTCAGATCGACAAGGTTTTCTCCACAGGCTATTTGAACACCAGGGTTTTGGAGACCCTCCAGCGTTCGTCTCATTATTTCATCGATCGCAAAGTTAAAAAGGAATGGAGAGAGTGGGCATCACTGACGGACACCGCTTTGTGTGCGGAAGCTTTTGGAGAGCTCTCCGTACACTCTCACACGTCCGGAAGTCTGAGAATACAAAGAACGTATTATGTTTACAAACTTCCGGGGCATTCCTTGGTGGGCAAGCGTCTCAAGAAGAACAGACCGATCAACCGAGTCGAATGCGCCTCGGAAATCCAGGAATACTAGAATCGTGGGTCGCTTATACGTATGGCGTTGTTCTAGCACCTGACGCAGTGTGAAGATTTGGTCAACACAACCCCTACCAGGCCGGAATCCCGCTTGCTGCTCTCGAGTCAGCATCTCACGAGCCACCGTAAGGCGACGAAGCACAATTGACGCCAACAGTCTCGTTACAACCGGGGTCAAGCTGATCCCCCTGTGGTTACCACACTCACTACGCGCCCCTTTTTTGAAAATGGGCACTATCACCGATTCTCCCCAGTTGTCTGGGACAGACTCCTTTTCCCAAATGCAAGCAAACAGATCGGACAAGTACTGATTGGGGACTTCACCTCCATCCCTGAACAGTCCGGGTGAGAGATCATCCGGACCAGGAGCTTGGTGGCGCTTGAGAGAAAATATGCAGTCGTAAAACTCCGAGGCCGTAGGTGGTTCCACGTTCACCGTGCAGGGTTCTACTTCACCTGTGGGCTGTAGATGAGTGCCGGCTGGTGGCCAAGACATTTGTTGTTCAAAGTATTCAGCCCACCGGTCAAGGCGTTCCTCCTTATTCGAGATGGTCGTTCCATTCTGGTGCTTGAGGCTTTCACGCACAGGTGGTTTCCGGGTACCGGTCGCACGGATCAACTGAAATAATTTCCGGGCATTACCCGCATTCTGGGCCTCTTTCAGTTCTTCGGCTTTCTGTGTCCACCATACTTCACGGTCGGATCGCAAGCTCACTTTCACTTGACGTCTGATGGCTCTTCGCATCGGGTTATGTTCGGGACCGGCTGGGATATTTCTTCGAGATTTAAGTAGTGCCACCGTTCGGTCTGATATCCA